TACTGACTCTCGAACCCCAACCAGGTAGTCTACACCTAACAACATGGCTCAGTCCAGTTTTCGGTAAATTCATCGGCTTGTATCGTGTTTTGCTTCGACCTCCCATACATATCTTCCAGCCTACAAGTACTCCTATGACAGTCCGTCATAAACTCTGACCCGACCAATAGTGTTCGAGTAGAGAGCCTGCATAGGGTTAATGTTCTTCTTTGGTACTCCTTTCAATGACAGACATTACCACGGAACCTAACGACCGACACAGTCAGATGCCATCTTAATGTCGAGAAATCCTACTGTTTTTAGACGCCGACATATGTCTCTGTGTTCTAGGATCAGTTGAAGTGTGAATATGTGGTCTACATATCCCTGTCCAGGTCTGAACCCAACCTGGTTTTCCCAGGTCTGTTCTCCACAAGTTTTAGTTGTTACGTCCAAGTTTTGCTCCTTCTTTTATTGAAGTACAGTATGTCGATCTATTTGCAATTCACGAACCCAAATTAACAGCTAAACCAAATTCCAAAGTAGGTACCAAAGTTTATTTGTAATTCACAAATAATCGACCAAAATATCGTTCGCCAATTTACAAATAGACGACCAATGTCGTTCTAACAACAATAATTATAATAATCACAAATACCTTCAATTTTATAGGTTCCTGGAGCAAAAACTGCAAACGACCAATACCAGGACAAACAGAATTCAAAATGGCGGAAAATAATAAATCAAACAAGTTCATAAGCTAAGTAAAACAAATGTCTTCGTTTTTCCCGTAACATTAGTAAGGCCTCAAAGTATTGTCGAGGCTAATATTATGGGCACTATAGTATTCAAACTGATTCCTTCCTGATTGTCACGAGAGGAATTTTGTCCTGTCTTATAAATTGGGAGAATCAGTGATTGATGTCAGTCAGATTGGATTACGACCAGTTCCCAGATTTTACCTAGGATCGCAGTCAATCTAACTGCTAAAACTGGACCACCATCTTTAAAAATCTCGACGGTCAATCTATCAGGGCCTGCTACTCTTCGCCGCCTCAAGGTGCCTATCGCCTTTTCAACTTCCTGAACAGTCGGGGAGCTTACGTGGACTTACCGTTCAGGATGACTGGTGATCGTGGGTAGTTGAAGTGTGGCTGAAGGCAAGTTGAACTGATCCCTGAAGTGTTCTACTCTTCAATCCGATCTTTTTGATTCAGGATAAATAATAACAACATCCTTTTCCAAGAGTCACGCAAACAGTCGGATTCCTCATACAGGTTTCTTTATTAAGTCTGAATAGCTGTCTACAGTAACCATTCTTTTCCATCGTTCTTGTATTCGCTACCCACTATTGTTCGCGAATATCGCGTAGGCTTTTTATCAGCCTGTGTTTGAGTGGACGCCATTTCTCAACGTGTTCAGAGCCAGATGGGATGAGTTTCCGAGCATCTATCAGTTCGGAAGATGCTACTGAGATCCGCCGTTTCGGCCTTACCTTTAGGTTTGCCTTACTGAGATATATCGCTGCTGCTTACACAGCTTTTCGAATATCTTTCCATGCTGTTTTTGAGTGGGCGTCACTCACGTAGCCGCTTAACGGTTTTACCAGTTGCGCCGGAAATATGTGCTTGGTATAGTTATCGTTAAGTGGAACTCTTGGGAGATTCCTTGATTTATCGTTTTTACGTCTAGTAAACTGCAGACATATGCTTTAGGATCAACAGAGTCCATCGATCGAGCCTCTCCAATGGTGGCTGATAGAAATGTAGTTTACTTGGGTCCAATAATTAGTTGATTTTAGGCGTAGCCATGTTAAAAGATATTTAAAATTTGGTGTTTGCCAGAAATAGGCAGCTGTCCGAGCATAGCTGCAGCAGATGATGGTAAAAGTTTTTTGAGCTACAAGAACCTAAGATTCACCTAGGTGTATTTCGATTTCGCTTGGTCCACCTACTTGAAAAATAAAATCACCAGCTGTTATTACGACACAGGAGTGCTTCGCTTCTTGAAGGAGGTCAGAAAGCTTTCCGTAACATTCATCTTTTACCCTATCTGAACTGCGATCACTGGTAGCGCAGGTAGAGACAATGAAGAAGCGAGTTTCTTTATCTTTCCGAGTTCCAATTACACTGTTGAGTGGGACGGCACACACGCGATTACCTACTAAAATCTAGTCTAAGTGAGCTAGTTCGCTCTAGAATTCAATGCCATACCTACATCAATGAGGCCACCCAAAAGCAGCACTGCGAGTACCACATACACGGAGCGTAAACTACGATGGCTTTTGTTCTGACAAGGTCAGGTCAAGTGAATGACAATACTCGGAAATTGTTTGCGCGTTTTGGAGACGCAGAACACATCGATGGTGTAAGATTCCAAAGTTCTAGCTGAGGAGGCCTGTTTTTCCATTCATCACATGGCCTAACCATTGTAAGGTCAAACATTTATTTCAGATCGGGGTTTCGTGGACCAGAATCATTGCTATTAGAGGCAAGATGTGGTAAATGTATGCGGAGAGAGTTGGTCGTAAAGATAAGAGAATTATTAAGAGGTGCTATAATAATAATGTTATTTTTAAAAGTAAACTGCTATGAAAACAGACGCCATTTACTAACAAGCAGTCAATATTTTCTCCCACAAGTGACAATAAACAAAACGGAAATACAATTCCTAGGCGCAAAGATTTTGTAGTTGGCATTAGCAATGACCTATCAGATTGAAATGAAACATGAACACCTCTTGAAATAACAAGTCAGTGTTCTGGATCACTACCAAAAAACCACGTACCCACACTTCTTGGATGTGTTGCAGCCATGAAATTATATCGGAAGAGCAAGGAAGCTAATGAAAACATTCCATGTGGTAGCTAAAGTGAATGTAAACATTTAGTACGTGTATGGCGTCAAGTCACAATAGTGTTTTTAATACGATAAAAGAGTAATCATAACTGAAACACGAGATCATGTACCCCAAGAATAGGTAAACAAAACTATTCAGCATAAATTTTCGGGTCATGTCAATCTTAAGTTCAATATTACTGTTCTAGGCAGAATTTCGTCCGTCCACTTACCTTCAGATTGCCACTTTAAAAAACGTTAAACATTGACTAGTTGTAAATCCAAGTTTATTAGAAGTACTGTCGAATAGACCTAACTAAGAGATGAATTCATATGCTTTCAAATATTTACTTTTTTAGGCGTTACACTTTATATTTCGCCCCGTTGGATGATGAACGATTTTCAAAGATATATGTCCAAATTCAGTCATCTCAAATCACCTTAAAGCATACTAAGTATATATGAAATTTCAAGCTAGTTGATTTAACTTATATGCTTACTCAAAATGTTAGTGCATCGTGTATCCAATACATCCAAAACTAACAAGTTTAGAAATAAGTATCCAGATAATTCTACTGTCCATAAAGGTTACGAATTTTATTACCTTATATAGTTTTTCATAACCGTAAAAAGAAAAATAAAGGAAATTCGGAATACGGCTACATCAACCTTTATTTACTGGTTGAAGAGTAAAGCATATTTAGAGAGCGTGAGACGGTGTTTGTTCGTGAAATGCTCAGAAGAGATCATGAATAGATTCTATCAGTAGATATCTTTCGAAAATAAAGGTTGAAGACAAACGTACTGACTTTTACAAATCACTCAGCCAACTATATAATGGTATGTTCTACAGACAAACGAACCATTGAGGAAAATAGCAACAGCCAACGTAGGACAATATTAAAACGAGAGAAAAGTTCTTCCTGGTCGGAGAATAAGAACAGCCTTCAACTTGAGACATGTTAGCAGAATAAATAAGCCCACCACAAATTTAAACAGAAGGGAACCCGAAACTGATAGTTTTATAAGCGTGGGATCAAGTGAAGTCTGTGGATTACTAGAGAGTGTGTCTGTAACATTAGTTTCTAAATCAAAAAAGAAACTGACGCATCCACGAGACATCAGAGACCCCTGTCTGTAGGTGATCCAGGTGCATAAAATGCTCACTAAGTTCTAAAAGTGTTCTGGCAACGGGATATACCGTTTTCAACTTGCTTCCTCTATTCTGCAGTTAAATATGTTAAGAGTAATCATTTTCTACTTATTTCTAAATTGGATAATCAAATCGGAATCAGCCATTAGCATGAAAAGTCCATCAAGTATGAAACATCAAAGAGAACTACATGGACAACGCCAGACACTCAGTGACCTATTTCCATTAGGTATTGACTTTGCTATATGTCATATCAGGTCGCGTACTTTTATCCGAATACTTGGTGTTACTGTGGAGATGCTGTATGGTAATGGTTGAGCATCTTTGGAGCACTGCATTGTTCTACGAAATTTCGAAAATACTTTAATTTCATGATGTCTTCAAAAATAGCAATGCCATCCGAAGAGTTTGAAATCAACTTTTCACTTGGTTTCAATAAGAAGCCATAGAATTCAGATATGATCCCTCTTTGTAATAAGTGCATGTTTGTTTGGACAGTATGTGCTGCGCATAGTTTAATTAGGCTCGCTACACACCATCGTGGTCGGAATCGGGGAGATGGTTTGTGTTTTCTTTTTCTTGGAATTAATTTTCGGATATAGTCTCGTATCAAGGCGAAAAAGACAAGGAAGTTGCGTGGTCACGTGAGTCATGGTCATGGACGAGTAGGTAAACACCGCAAGCATCCCGGAGGTCGGGGAAATGCAGGTCTTGAACACCATCATCGAATCAACATGGACAAATACCATCCGGGTTACATCGGCAAAGTTGGTATGCGCCATTATCATCTTAAAAGGAACCCCTACTACTGTCCGACAATTAACCTGGACAAATTATGGTCTTTGGTGTCCCAAGAAACTTATGAGAAGTATAGGGACTCCACCGATGGTAAAGCTCCCGTTATTGACTGTCTACGCAAGGTAAGTGCGAACAACTAAAGCAATATCCGTACATATAGGGATACTTCAAAGTTCTAGGAAAAGGGTATCTACCAAAAGTACCTGTTATTGTCAAAGCCCGATTCTTCTCTCGAAAAGCAGAGGAAAAAATCAAAGCTGTTGGAGGAGCTTGTATATTAACTGCATAAATAAATATCACGTCTGGATAGTCCACTTTATTTTTTCTGAAACGCACAGTGATGACAAGCTAACATTACACTAGGCAGCTAGTCTTGTATACCGAATTTCATACTTTTTTTCAACTTAACTCATATTTAAACGATGATCGCGATTCGTACATTTGTAGATCCTTTACTAGAGGTGTTACTGTGATTTCATGATAACTAATTCCGTCGGTAAGCAAGTTATGGTAATGGTACATTCATATCCAATGCCTGAATCCATCATACAGTACCTTAACGGCCGCAAATTAATCAGTAACTAACAGCTCGATTAATTGTGCAACCCATCGTTCCTTCACTTTGTGAAGCTTCATTCAACTACATATGCACTGACTGTTTACCTCGGAAAAGGTTGCTCTGTTGAAGTAATCCCTTGACTGACGCCATAAGCTTTAATCGGAAACTGGGTCTAGGAATATTGTACAGGGTTTTTGTAACTACGGAATTGCGATTGACCTAGGCTTCCATAATCTTGTAGAGCCTCTATAGAAATGCACTATGATACTTCGTTTCTACGGGTATACAACTATTTTATAGTTTCTATCTATAGCTCCAAACGCACATAGCAACCATAAGGTTCTGGGTTTCATTGATTGTATGGTTTACAGAAACAAGCATTCATCCCTAATAACTGTCTTTTCAAAATTAAAACCAAACTGACCGAGATATACTGTAGCCCCGTTTCACTATCTGTATCAAGATTAAAACTAGGTCCCTTCATTGTTGCAGACGCAAACCGACTAGCTAGCAGTGTCGCTCGACAAGGTTATAAATCAAGTCGTTCTGCCGAAAACAAAGCTGCCTTCATATCATGGCCGTAAACACTCATCAGTATCCAGCTTATTTACCACCTTTCAGATTTCGCTGTTTCCTCATTCTTGTTTTGTGTGTTACCTACTGGACGGAATTTCAACGCTCATAGTTGTGTTCTCTGACCAATGATCAAGTGAGAACTGTAAATGGGATTTGCTTTGTCATCTTTGTAAGTCCATTAATACAAATTCAGCCAAAGGGACTTGTTTGAGAATTTCATGAGGTCCACAGAACTAGTTTCGTATCCCGAGAACGGATGCCGAATCATGCAGAACGAAAATGTGTTCAGTGAAAACCTCCCAATAGTCACAAGGTATTTTGGTTGATTTACTAACCATTAAGATGGTATGAAAGCATTAAGTCAGCTTACGTCTGTCTGCTGCCGTGTTATTGTTCGGTTCAGGAAGTTATTTAAAGTTCGAACTTAGGTACCAGTGACTATGAAGTGGAATAGTAGCAAATACGCTTTTTGAGGAACAGGTCAATGGGCATGATAATTGATATTCAATAGCCCATCAGAATAGGATATTACACGTAAATCTAAGATGGGAAGCTCATCAAGGTATGCAAATCCCTGTAATGCCGTAATTACAAATAGCGATAAAAGTGCTCCGTTGTTCTAAGGGTTCCGAGGCGGTGTTTGTAACTTATCACGTCAGCAAGTGTGTTCACCTAAGATAAGTTTTCTATCTCGCTTTCTTTGTTATTTTGTCATGGGCCTGCTTTGTTGATACCTTGTCTTATTGTCTTTATAGACTTTTCTCTTTGCGGGATTAACGGCGTTACAGTTCTGTGGAATAAATGCTCTTAAAATTAACTGACATTCCTTCTTACAAACCGGTTGCAGTAGAGAGTGACTTAATTTACGGCCGACTATCGCCCTTGCGAAAAGTTATTCTTGGTGCCGTCCTAATACGCTTTTGTCTAGTCAAGCAATCCTTAGCTCGAAGCAGTCTCGACATCGAAATAACTGAAATAATGATTAGCCTCGATGCTACAGAAGTGACTTAACCAGATGCGGTTACGCATCGAACATTGAAACGGTTTTAGTCAGGCAGTATGTATTAACAGGGACTTGTCCTCATTAAGTTAGAGCCATACCTGTAGAAGTACAAGTGTTGTGTAAATTTGATGGTAAAATCTTACTATGGACTCTTTCAGGTCCACCTGTAACGTATAAAAAGCATGAATTGAAGCCACCTAAGAGTTTGCTCAACTTGACAGTACTATTGTTTAGTATGGACTGTATATGGTGACTCAATGCACATTTTCTAATCCAAGGACGTGATATTGTAAAAATTACAGGCTTGTGTGACACTAGAGAGTAATCTGTGATGTAGCCGAAATTTAGTTTATATCATGTGAGTTACATATTATGTCCGGTCGGAAAGCTTTCATGACTTGATCCAGTGGAATATTGCTCAATTTCGTATGTCAGACGTCAGATAAACTATTCTTCAGTTTAACATGCACTCTTGAGTGAATAAGTTGCGCCTAGTTCATATGACAGTGACTAATATCTGGTTTAACTGTTGTTTGGACGTAAAGACGGAGTTGCTTCAGATAACTGACTAGTTCATAGTTAAGTATTCATAAGCGAACAATTGATCCACAACGGTACTCACAAACAGTCAACGAATTCGAGACTTCTATTAAGGAAATTGCTACTACTCAACGGATTTCAGGAAGTAGAAACTGTGTTAAGCATTGTGTGTTAGTCACTACGATAAGCTCAAACCTTTATCGCGGTAACTGCTGGGAATGTCTTAAGTGGAGGCTTGTGCGTTCCAACGTTGAGAACCCATGAGTTCAATCAGAGGTGCCGTCGAGTCTCCGCACATTCCGGGACCACCGAGCAAGTCATATATAGATTGGAACAAGGCACTAGGTATGTCAGTAAATCGATAGATGGGCCGTCACTGACGAACGGTATTAATACAGGGTCACCTAAAAACACACCGAGTACTGTTAGGGGCGGCCAGACCGAAAATGTCGGTGGGCATCCTTCCTTCGTATTCACTTGGAAGGCATTTCCTGTCCCCATTTCTCTCCGATTACTACTACTGCTGTTACTGCCATTATTCCCAGACTTGGCCTAACAATCCTATCTCTCTTAGCTAATGAGGAACGCCACCAAGTCATCCGACAGGCGGAAGCAGACCGAGTAGCTATCCGGCGCATCTTCACAAGAGAATATGTATGCTCATTGACCCAGTACGGACACGCATGCTCAGTTTTCAGCTGCACCTGATATGATGGTTGATAGTACGCGCCAACCGAAACACTAGTTGAGTTGCGGGCCAAGTACGCAAATATGTGATTGCAAGGCAGCAAGCTTGAAACTTAAGAAACTACATACTAAACTCTCACCCTCACTATTAAACATTTTGCAAGCTCAATATCCTTCGGTCCATATACTATCGAGGATATTACCAGCCACACATCAGTTCATTGATTAAGTTGCCATGGTCAAAGTATTGGACTTATAGGGGTACATAATGTAAAATCAACGCTTTCAAAAAAGACTATGGACTCAAACCTCACACTGGTTAAAGCTTTCGAAGTGCAACTAGTTCAAACAAATAACATTACTCAAACATGAGGACGGTAATTTATATCACATGAGTTAAATGGAAATAAGGTAGCCCTTACAAATGAAAGCTAATCTATTTAGTCTAGAGGCACTTCTTCACACAACGGATCTCCACCAACTGGAAGAAGAGACTAAAGCGTATCTAAATATGAATGAAAACTGTTTCGGCTCCACGTCGCATTTTAAACCTGTCGAAGTTTCCTATCATTTCTCAGTACTAAAAAAAATTATCGTCTTTGACCCATGCGACTAAAATCACGAAAATTCCTTATTTTTGATCACTACTCAATATTTGGGAAAATTCACTGACAGCCACATACCCAAAGCGTTTCTAGGACATTCCGAATCAATTTTAGAGCAAAGATTGTCTTGAACTAGTTGAAGACGCCTCGAAAAGTACTTTATACAGCTCAATAATATGTTACGTTGATGGGTAGCGTGTGGTATACACATTGCCCATATGACAAAGATCTCCTTAGGCTGTTTTGTTACGAACTTAGTGGAAATAAACATCAGTCATATCGTAGTTATGAGAAAAAAAAAGCTATTTATTAGTCTACATTAGACTAATTAAATCGGTCCACTTTCCTGATAAAGTAACTAGCCAAGATATAGACCTGAAAGTAATTCTGAGAACTGTATCATTTACTCAGTTTGTATCAGTCTTGCATTGCTTTCTACAGTGTCATCCAGTCAGTTCAAAGATACCAGAGCTCTAAATTGTGTAACATGGAGTCGGCCTTTACATTTGTTACTCTGGATGACTTAGGGATCCTTTTATGACCTTTTTATATACGGCTAAATATACAAAGTTTCGTGCACTGGGATTAAGAAAGCTGTTTACTGACTAGATATCTTGAATAATCAAAATTTTAACTCTTGCTTTCAAGAAATTTAGGTAGAACACTTCGTGGATAACCTTCGAACCGAGTACAAAATTCTGTACGAATTTATCAATTACAAATTTGTGAAATTTGATGGTTCAACCTAACAGACGCTAGATACATAGTGTTACCAATAAGCAATACGATCAGGAAGCCAGAAGTAATATGATTAGTTCGGTAGTTTGAACGATGGTTATATTTCTCATATCACCTGTTCCGAATTGATAAAGCGAGAATTTTTAGAAGCACACGCACTATTAATGTATCAAAATGTTAAGCAAGAACAACCAATAAATTTAACTCGTGCTTACAAAATTCGAGAGTTCCTTACAACAAAGGCGAATCTTGCTTTAAAGAATTCAGTCAGGATACATTAGTTTTAGGAGTGACGAAAATATCTTTATTCTACCATCTGGATGGTATTCTTTGCAAATGTGCTGCATACAGTCAACACCCTGGGACAATCAAGTAAGCAATGTAGTTGTTAGGAAACGGGTTCTAGGTAAGAATGGCACATCAATAGTTTAGGTATTCTTTGTAGGAGGTTGTGACAAGTATTAAGTATACCCAATCGCCAATTGCCTCGACGAAGGGTGCCTTGGGATATAGGGCTGGAAGAAAGCTACGGGGCGGCCAGACCAAAACATGGGACTAATCAATGAAGTCACTGACAAGTGAGCTGAGCCATGTTCGTTAGTTAAGACAACCTGGTCCTGGTCTGCGAGACGATAGTAACTGATGTTTGGAGACCCTAAGTGATATGGCTCGAAATCGTTTGAAGTGGCATAGGTGCATCCATTCCTTGTCTTCTCCCAAATTCTGATCTCCATAGTTCCCTGTGACCATATTACTTTTCTCAAATTTATTTATCTTCAGAACCTAACCTCCAATTTCTGCTCATGCTTCTACTACCTTGATGAATAAGATTTTAATCGACAGATGCATTTCTGTGCTAACGTGGTACGGCAGCTTGAACTCATGTACGTACATACCACGTTGTTGCTGACTTACTGAGTCAACTCACACTGATGAGCATGAGATACAAGTACAAGTACTGAGGAACTTATATGTTCGTAACAACGGACGTCAAGGCATTTAAAATCTAATCCATGAGTCGGATATATGATCACCAAAACATACTAAGTGAATTCTACTCATATTAACTATGATAAAGTAAGCATCAACACAATCGACAATAACCTACGCATCAAGTGGATTTATACATTCGTGAAATGAGGTCAACAGTTTTTAGGCAATAACAAGGCTATAGAATCTACTTCAGAATACACAAACGAAGAAATTTCGGACAAGAAATTTAAATCCTATTAAATCATGTGGATTCACATTGAAGTCAACGAATAGACTTTGCGAACTTCTTGCTTGTTTATTCCCTGCTGTCTAAGAAAACGCGTAACAAACGGCAAGCAACAGCGAAATACAAAAGTTTGAAACCAGTTTTTAAAAAGTTTCTTAGACGATAACATATGAGATGTCAGTTAGTGTTTGTTAGGTTACAACAAACCTTGTTGCGTTATATAGTAATAGCGGTCCTTTGAAACCGTCCAGTTATTCTGTGAGTGACTGAAAGAAGTAAAATGATTATATCTAACACAATTCTTACCATTATTGCATTAACCACATCATCATTATTGTTGATAAGCGCTCGAATAGCTTTATTGCGGGAAACACCAGCTTGTTGCATGATAAGTTCAACATCTTTGTCGTCTAATCCAGTGGCATCAGGCTTAACGAGACCATTGTATGAATCAAATGTTGTATTACCTGTTCCTCATCTTCAGACTCTTCTGCAATAGCAGTCTTAGAGACAGAGGAGACCGTATCTTTTGATAGTCCACTGGATGTTCCTAGGTCAGCGCCTCCCATGGCTTGACTACGAAGTTTTTCCGCTGCAGCTATCTGAGCTTGTGCCGATATATCTTCTGCCTTAGCCTCGCCGAATATTATGTATGTATCCGAGGCAGAAGATTTATATACCTCAGCTCTGTTGATCACAAACATGATAGATTTCGCTTTCCGAATAGTTACGCGACAAACTCCCTGCACCAGTTTTAGACCCAGCTTCGACATTGCTTTTCTAGCTTTTTTTTCGCTCCTTGACTGTTTACACCGGCTGAGTAGGTCGTCAGTCATGTGTGATACTTTGGCATCACCCTGGCCTTTAGAATCTTCTACTTCTGGTGCAGAGTCATCTGAGTCACTGCCAGAGTCTGAAACCACATTTTTATCTTCTAGCTTATTTGCAACTCCAGGAACCATTCCTAGTTAACAAGGATTAACGCACGGAATCCCAGTCTTGAATCCCACTTCGTACGTCCTCAGCAATTTAAACAACTTTAGACAAAAATATAAAATTAGGAGAATCAGACAGACCATTATGTTCGTTCTTTCCTACACGTATCCAAAATATTATGATAACTTTGGATTAGATTGTTGAAGGGTACAAGTGGCTATTATAATGACGGTGATTTGAAAAGCAGAAGCGAATCAACACATGTGTTCAAATATTACATTTTCACCAGCGTGGATCTTATCCAGAGTCTGAAGACTGCCTTCAGAGGGGCCCGGACCAGAAACGCTGCAGACGAAGGATTAAGTGAAAGAACAAGAAGCGACCATTACGACCAAGTTCGAAACCATACGTATGCCCAACGTAGCCGGAACCCAAACATCGACTGACTGCATTGATAAGAGCGTAGGTGATGAAGCCAGCTGAGGTCGATGGTACCAACCGGACGATGGTCGTAGTCGTGAGCTGAGTATACAAAATTGAAAGAAAAAGCGAAAGCGAAAGGTGTAGCAAGCATGTAATGAGGTAGAGTCCTATACGCTATCTGTTGCTAATTCAGAGGCTAATCTCGAAAATGTACATGTAGATGTACCTGGGGACCGGAACATGAGACGGTAGTCTCGTACGTTTCTCGTGAGCCTGCAATCTCATCCGAAGTCAAAGGCAGCATGATCTGATTATCTGGACGTGAGACCGGAATCTCATACGTAGATAGTGCAGATGACGCGTGTTGTTGATTGGAACGTGAGAATGAGGTCTCTGATGTATCTAGCGTTGGGTAAGGAGTAGATTTAGGGATCCCGTCAGTGAGTTGGTTGGGGCTCTTATGGAATGTCGACTCATCAGGTACTGCACTGTCATCGACTTGTGCTGGTTTGAGATGATCAGTGCTGACCATGTTCATCAGCCCTGTAGGTCTTTTCGTAACGAGAGATCACGTGAAAAGGTCCTTCGCAAGGCCATTGCAAAGGTTTGCGTACCGAATCTACTCATATGAAAACATGTGAAAAGGTTAATAACTTTCGAGGAAGAGCGACCTGTCGATGCCATATTCGAGTTGACACCGGAGGCAGTGTTAGCATGTACGCAGATAGTCGTCTGACGTTATCTGATATACATAGTAGCTGCTCCGTGGTGTAGACGATTCCCCGGGTATAAACAATCGCGTGCCGAATAAAAGTTCAGAGGCGGAACATTGAATATCTGCCGTTACTGCTATGTAATCGCCGTGTGGTATCCAACTAGTGTCATCTTTTTTGCTAACCGAGTGGAGAGAAGAGCCCCAAGGACTATGAAAAAGACGAAGTAATACATATAGCAAGTAAGTTGTCAAACGAACGGCCAGATGTATCGTGCAGTGATGGGGCCTAATAAGTCTTCGACAATCTATGAAGGGTACTGAAGTTGAGACAACGATAATCAGGGGGTACGATTGATCGAGGTGCACCACGGAAAGTAGGACCTAAGCTAGTCACGAGAGGTACTTCCTGTCTCCGAAGGGATCTAGATTGTTGGGCTTCTGTACAGGAGGGATCATTTGCCTTGGCAGAAACCATAGCAGAAAGTTTAAACACCGGTAAAGTAACCGCATTCACTTGGATACTTCAGAGAGCATCGGAGACGTATTTCGATTCGCCTTTAATATCACGGAGGTCTATCGTAAACTGAGAGATGTAGTCCAAATATCTGCACTCCCATGGTGATTAATAGTCAGAGTTGGTATGCAGAGCATACGTTAGAGGCTTATGGTCAGTGATGAGGATAAAGTCGCGACCTTCTACAGCGTTCCGGAAATGTTTGATGGCACAGTAGGCTGCTAGCAGTTCTCGCCTCCGTGGGAGCAAGGCTTCGTGAGTAAAATTCGGAAGGTTGCCAGCTTCCGAAGATGTTTTGTGGCACAACGGCTCCTATTGCAAAATCTGAGGCATCAACCGCTATACTAAACGTGGCTGATGGGTCACGATTGGCGAGGAGTTCGACTTGAGCCAAAGGCGTTTAGATCTCTGGAAACGCAACAAGCGCTGCATCGTTCAACTCTAATTTACGCGGATTACCGCGAAGTCGGTAAATTGTTGTAACCGTCCTCCTGCTTGTGTGATGAAACGTCGGTAGAAGTTAACCAAACCGAGAACTGCCTTCAGTTCCTTGAGTGAGGACGGTACAGTGTACCCCATGATTGCAATTACGTTCTATTCACAAGGTAAAATACCCTCTTTCTCAATGACGTGAGCCGAGAATTTTACATCTGGCTTGCCAAGTTCACACTTGCCCTAGTCGACTATTATTCCAGTATCCAAAAGGCGCTGGAATAGGAGTGTTAGATGCTGATAATTTTGATCTAACTTTGATGATGCGAATATCAGACCATCAGCATAAACGTGAACAAAAGCAAAGTCTCATACTATGCTATCGATATACCTTTGGAAAGTTTGAGCAGCATTTCATAATCCAAATGGCATTCGTACGAACTGAAACAATCCACAGGGACTCGTGATAGCTGTTTTCTCAATTTATTCGAAAGCGAATGGTATCTGATGATTTACTCGTACCAGATCAATCTTAGAATAAACAGTTATGCCCTTACGATAGGATCTCCTAGAGAGGCTTAATAAAGTGAGGGAATTTCGCGAATAAAGCGTGGAATATGTCGTCATGCGAATGAAATACACCTGTGGTACGCGTTCGTTTGGGCTCAAAAGCCCATGAATTCGCTGTTCGACGAAGTTTCGACTAGCTACAGCCTACGTGAATGGACTAGCGATTCATTGTGCTGAAGGAAATCGGTGCCGAGCATGGCTATGAGAACATCGGTAGTGATGAAAGTCCATAGATGCTGTGGCCAGTAGCTCAGGTCGACCGTTAGCTGTAATTTACCATGGGTCGGAATGACCAAGCAATTCGCAGCGCATAGTCGAAGCATTGTGGCCTGAGACTTATCGTTAGCAATCGATACGACAGAAACTTGGGCACCTGTATCTACTTGATACCTGGCGTTAATGCAATATTCGTGCATTTAAAATAATCAGCCAACCTGAATTGAGGGGCCGGCGAATACTGCCGCAGTTACTCGTCAGCACGGGAGTTTCCCGCCTTGTAAGAGCAGGGGGCCCGAGAGTGGCGGGACCTGAAGGTACGATGGAACCAGCATAAACCTGTACTCGCTTCTGAAGCCGCCTTTTGGCGTGGCTTGGAAGATGCCAGCTTAGGGCAAGTACTTACAGCCTTGGACGATTAAGATCTAGCTCGGGAGAGTGGTGCTCTGGAATAAGATAATGGTCTCGAAACTTGAGACGGCAATAAACGCAGCAACCCAGATCTCCTTGAACTGGGGAGCGACCAGCACCAACGTATACGTTCGTATGTTGAGGCGTCCTAGTCTTCACCAACGTTTTGTCTGCTGTCAAGGCAACCTGGCTAAGTGGTGTGTCTCGTAGGCACAATGCGAGCTAGTAGGGATTCAAGCCACAATTCTTTGACTATCTCAAAGTCAGCTGTCGTAGGTCCTGCCAAAGAGTGCAGGCGCGTGAGGTGATGGCTCGGTTTAGCATCACCCAGGAGGGGACGTGCTAATAAAGTCCTCGATACCTGAGAATCACCTCCTTGAGAAGATCGGAGAATTCTGGTACGTTACAACTGAAGAAGGCCTCATGGACAACAATTATGTGGTCCCTAGGTAAGGACTCCAGTGCACTGACATATTTCTGCCACTGGTCCGTCATATGGCGGATCTCGAACTGAGCTTCTATCCCCGCGAACCAAGCTTCTGGTTCGTGGGGAATGGAAGAGACAGATCGAAAATTAATAACCTGTATCTGGGAGTCTGTTATGTCACCGTTATTTTAAAGTCTATCCACCATATCGGAGATTTGTTGCGAATATAGTGTATATATCAGGAAATATCGATATAATAGGGAGTGTTTCTAGTAAACCAATCGTGTTCTCACAGTAAAACTGGAGTCACTACAGTCTCAAAAACAGATCGTTAGGGATAGTTTTCTTCAACGGACGAATTAAGTCCCGACATTATTTTTGTCACAGGAACATGGCTCATTGTAGATATAGACAGTCAATCTATCACTAGAAGATACAACCGTATAAGAAGCGATAAGGTTATAAATCACAAAGAAAGTCTGATTACTATTTTAGGCATAACTTGAATAGAGCTTAGGATCTCGATGTTGGCTTGCTGTCAACTATTGTCCAATGTACAGTGTATCGCGTAACTGACAGTGAAAAAAGCACCTTACTTTAAGCTTCATATATATATATTTTGCAAGCCCATCTACTCCACTCTGTCCCATTATCTAGCAGGCTAATTTCCCACCGTTCAGAGACCATGCAATCGAGTCTGTAGCATCTCCGCTCATCCCATTATCAAGACGTAAGTTCTCACATTACCTTCCAAAAATCTATAGAGAAACTCAAAACTGCTGTCCGACGGATAGGACGGCGAAAGAAGAAGAAACCTTCTCCAATAAAAACTAATCAAAATTTGAGGGCTACTCAGAGAAGAAAACGTAAACAGATGTGTGGTCAACCTGTCTAAACAACATCTGACGATAATAGGAGGACTGCTCCTCTAAAAAGGATTGAACTACAATAATAATAATAATAATAATAATAATAATAATAATAATGTAAGTGACGCTTCGAAACTCGAATTCCTCGTCACACCGGATTCATCATTCAAAATTGCCTGAAAAAGTGATGAAAGTCAACAAGAAATATGACAAACTAGAGTGCCATTATTCCGACATAAGAGAGGCAACACTCATCTAACAGCACAAGAACAAAAACATTTCAAGAAACTCAGGACCAGGGAAGATATTGTCATAGTTCCTGAAAACGAAGGTCGCACTATAGTAATTATGAACAAGGAAGAACATGTCAGGAAAGTCAAAGAACTACTTGGTGGGAAAAGTGTAAATAAACTAATAAACACAAGCCCAATAAAACAATTAAACAACCAAATATCAAGGACTCTCAACAAGCTTGTCAAACCAGGAAATTTATGAAACAAGAGCAGTGGAGAATGAAATCCA